TCAACATTAACTGGCATTCTCAACCCATTTTAATTCTGAGACAAAAACTTTTCTTTTTTTTTGCATTTTACTCGGATCGCGAAAGTGAGTGTTTCATATTAGAATAAAGCAAGAATCATTCACATTTTCTTCATAAAATGTAAAAGTCTATTATTCTAAATAATATTGCAAATATTTCTACAAAAATAAACAAAAGTTTCATTTGGTGATGTGTACACTTCCGTTCAAAAGTTTGGGTCTGCTCACCAGGGCTGGATTTATTTGATCAAAAATACAGTAAAAAGAGTAAAAAAAAAAAAAATCTATTTAAAATGCCTATTTTCTATATGAATATATTCCTGTGATGCAAAGCTGAATTTTCAGGATCATTAATCCAGTCGTCAGTGTCACATGATCCTTCAGAAATCATTCTAATATGCGGATTTGCTGCTCAAGAAATATTTCTGGTTATTATCAATGTTGAAAACAGTTTTCGCTGCTTAATATTTTTGTGGAAACAATGATGAATAGGTGAATAGTAATAATGAATATTGGTGAATAGGAAGTGCAAAAGTAGAGCATTTATATGAAATGGAAATTTTTTGTAACACTATAAATCTATTTACTATCCAATTTAATGCTTTCTAATTGAATACAATAAATTGCTGTGAAATATATATATATATACTGTATATTGACAGATTCTATCATGTGAAACTAATACTACATTTTTCATTTTGCATCCAAAGGCTTATCCGGAATATTTGATCACATACCAGATCATCAAACCGGAAGTTTCTACAGATTAACACACGGGTCTTTCCATCTCAGAGGAGAGAAACTGCTTGTTTACTGCATGCAATTTTTATACAATGTATAACGTTATTCTCTTCCTACAGCTGTCTGCTTTTATCTCATTTACAGCAACTTATTAATGAACTGTCCGACAAACTGGCCTCACCAGTTCAGTCACTAACACTGGTTACAAAAGTTGCATTTCCTTTTCTTATCCATCACAAAGTTTACTTATTTATTTTACAAAGACAAATGTATATATTTTGTACTAATTAATTTATCGATGTTTGTATCATAAGAGATCTACTATGCCTGAGATGTAAATGTTTGCCACTATCCTGCAGTTTTACACATGTGAGTACAGGGATTTTTCTGAAGCATCAGACCAATTGAAAAGCATCTAGTATTCAATATAAGGATTATTTGGCAGAACAGGATGAGACTTAATCCGAATATAAAATGATCTAGAAATGTCTTCTTGACAGCATTGTTGCCCTCCAAAAAAAGTAAGAATTTAACTTTCAAAAATACACCTCATCCCACAGGATGTCCCATATTGATGCAAGTGTTTAATTGCTGAACTGTTTAACGAGACAACTTAATATTTGCATTAATTCTCAGTCTGCAACATATTGGGTGCTTGAAGGAATTGTTTCTGCATTTTGATATGAAGATGCTGGTTTTATTGTTTTGTTTGTAGTTCAGAAGTATTTGTACCCTGCTGTGCATGAACATGTCAGTTTTTCCTCATGTAATGTCATGTTAATGATGCGTTACTATGTCCTACAAACAATGGCGTCAACAACACGATCAAATAAAGAGACGCTTTTTATCAATCTCTGGTATTGTTTCTGTCATTATCACACAAAGTGAACCTGTTCCTCCATCTCAGTGCAGTCATTTGTGAAACTAACAAATGGCCAACAGGAGGCACTATTGTGCTCTGGGTGAAACTGAAAAGCCAAAGCTTTAAACCTCACTGAGTGAGTAGTGTGATTGTGTCACGGCCCACGGGTAATATATTCATGTACCAAGGCATTTACATTGTAAATTATATTTAAAAAGATACTTCAAAGAATAGCATGGCACTATATACTACAGGGGCAGAGTTTGCCATTTAGTGCAAAGCTTGGGTTAAATGCAAGCTCCAATCTCTACTCCAATGTAGAAACGAATGAAAAAACTACACAGAAACTACGATGACATCAATTATTTCTTAGCTACCATGGTAGTCTTTGTTAGGATTTCTCCCATGATATATTGTCATACATATGGACAATGCTTGTTTTGTTTTTATAAATGATGTATCTGTTCACATTTTAAAAATTAATTTGCCCTGTTATCTTTAATCAAAATAACTCCCCTTCCCTCTTGCAGCGACATCTCTTCTTTTCTTTTGTTTACTGAAACGAGGGCGGGGCAACCTGTCACTCAAATGACATCACAGCACGAGGCTCAAAATCAAGTCCCGCCCTACATTTTTTCTTGTTCGAGAAGCCAGAAAAGACTATCGAAACTTCCGTTCCTTGTCGAGTTTAGACTGTGTTGCCGTGTTCTGTTTAAAGTCCCTTGCTTCAGACTGTAAGTATCGCACATTGCAAATGCAATAAATACAATGAGCTCAGGAAAAACACGTTGCTAATCCATGTGAATATCTGCTTCTATTAGCAAGCTAGCTGCTTGGAAAAGAAAGATGGATGCCTGTTTTAGTCAATATCTCAAAACATTTTTTTAAGACCGCTCAACCCTTCTTTGTGCTTGTCTGAGCTTTTAGACAACATGTGAGGTGACATAGCTATGCATTTCAGGACAGGTCCATTCATACAAAAGATTTACTTTTGTGATGCAGACGTTTTCGTGAAAGTAGAATGCTTTTGAAAGAATCAGCAGAACCCTCCGGTTAAAACAAAGAAGACTTGTCTGCACTTATACTAACTGAATCACTCCCAGCAGTGGTGAACTACCTGCAGGTGGTAAGTCCCCATTTACTGCTCCCTCAAACTATATGCAACATTTTTGGTAAAAACACAAAGGATGAACCACATTATGAGAGTCACCGGTGTCGAATCCACGTGAGATACTCAGTCAGGCCCTGCAGAATAAAACTACTTTCAAAGTATTTGCAAGAAGTGCCAAAAGCTACAAGTATTTCTTCAATTCAAGAAAGTTTAGAATGTAAATCCTACATCAAACAACGAAAGAAGTAGGCCTATATTATTTTTTTATTTTAACATTGTTTACCCAAAAATGAAAATTCTGTCATCATTTACTCACCCTCCTGTCATTCCAAACCCGACTTTCATTCGTCTTTGAAACACAAATAAAGATATTTTCAGTAAAACCGGAGATATTTCTGTCCCTCCATTGAAAGACCATCCCTCCGTAAAAGCTTCAAAAAGGTTTATAAAGACATTGTAAACATAATCCAGATGAATCGTGCCATTTAATCCAAGAGTCTTCTTAAAGTCCTCTGAAAAGACATGATTGTATGATGATTTCATTGAGGCTTTTATTCACCCACACTGTAAAATGTTTCTGTTAATTTACACCCAAATTTCAACATGATTAACCTGTTATTTTTAATAACTGCGCCTTACTGTTAATTTTAGGGAATATATGTTAAATAACACCTCATTTTTGTTATTTAACACCTCATTGTTAAATAACACCTCATTTTTGTTATTTAACCGCAAAATCGAAAATTCAAGCAAAGATGTCGGATAACGGTCTGGTATGTTTGTTGATAAATGCCGCTATGCAATTTTATGCTTATTATAAAAAAAGTTATTATATCAGTGGAGAAGTTATGCAATTTCATTTCGGTTTTTTAGGTTGCTATTAAACGACTGATTCAATCAAGGTTCAAGGTTGGGTGGGGGTGGGTGTGTCTCCCCTGTACTTTCTGAACACGGTGTAAATATCCGTATGACACGCAGCAAGCTGGCAGGCGCCACCCTAATATGTCTATTGGCGCCACTATTTGAAATAACATGTTCATACAGTATTTTTTTTTAATTCTGGGAAGGAGCGTATAAGGCATTTGAACCGGCCGGCAACGAACACGGAGATCCATGTCGGAGGATCGCGGTGGTTACATCGACCAAAATCACAATAATCCGGTGAGAGAGTTTCTTGAAAGTCATGCATAGTTTTAACATCTATCAGTGATGTTGATGTATACTAAACGCCACGGACTTACACCACATGAAATGAAGTAACGTAACTTAGCTAGCTAGCTGCTAATGAGCCTAGGTGATTTTGATAGTTTGTCCATTAATTTTTAGAAACAATGCGCTTATTTTAATGTCCATTTATGTATACGATCTAAATCTATAAACAATAGGCTAACATTAGGCCAATAACTTTAAGTAGCATTCCCGTGGTCAAGTTTGTGTGGCATTCTTGGCATGTGCATGTCTGGTTAAAGCAGATTTATCCTGAAAATCAAACGGCTAACATAAATCTATTTACTGATAGCTGTTTATGATGCTAGATAACGTTAACTTAGTTGGTCTAGTTGGTCCAAGTATTTAATGAATTCATGTCAGCTGCTCGTCTTTGATGGATTATAGCTGTTTGGGCTACCAGACATGCTGGTGTGACTATTTTATGTGCAGGTTTTAGCCTTACAATGAGGTAAATCCAGCAAAAACAGCTATTACTGATAGGGCTAGTGCAGTATCTAGCTATGTGAACAGCTATTCTCTTTTAATTGCCTTGGTATAGTGCACCCTATTTTGTGTGTTTTTTTTGTTGCTGTTTTGATTATCATTGAGTTGTAGATCAATGTTTACATTTGTTTTCTTGTTTTTTTTTTTATTACAGATGCAGGATACCATCCCTGATCACTGCTGTTCAAGATGATATCCCAGGATTTATATCTCTATCTCTCTATCTATATCCCCTCTCTCTTTATCTAGCTCTTCCTGTCTCTCCATCTCTCATTCTATCTATATATTTATCTATCTCAGTCAGTGGTAGTCTTATGTCGTTAATATTGTGTTTAATTTGTTCTATGTCCTAGGGATATGCCACTGAAGCTGACCTTGAGAGTTCACTATACCTGCAACTCCTCGTCTGATACTTCTTGGTAAGTTGGTTTTAGATAGGACAGTTGGGTTTAGTGTTGTAGTGAATTCAATGGTATCAAACTAAACTATTCAAAATGAAAACTAAAACAGAAATTTGACAGTTAAAACATTTCTGTTTCAGGAGAAACAGGAAGCCGCTTCCAGCGCTGGATGCTCAGCCTTGATGGCCAAATCATTTGCAAAGGGATCCAGTCCACCTTTGTGATAGGGCTGGCGTCTTTTCCCCCCCCTGTTTTTACATCTTTAACCTACAGTACCAAGAGGAGGCAGCTTGCACGATTGAATTCATCCAGAGGTAAGATATTGTCTGTTAACACCTGCATATTTTTCTGGCCTAGCTGTGGCTCAGGCATGGTTTCAACAGGTCTGGTGATGGGATTTAGCAATTAACTTTGATTTAGAAAGTTTTAGTGCAACTTACAATATTCACAGAGGCAAGAAGATAGTGCATGTTGAGGATAGTTCATGTACATTTGTTGTCTTTGTTGTGCTGTTAGTCTGTGTGAATTACTAGATTTTTAACCAGTGTATAATTTTTCAGACGCTTTGTGGGTTTAAACCCAGAAAAAGGGACAAAGGCTGCAAAGGGGAAAAAAAAGAAGAACTTTGTCAATTCACACGTCGCCAGCCACGTCTTGCTCAAGCTCATGGACTTTCAGTGGGATTTCATTTGAAAATGGTGAGTAAGATGTATACATTACACATATGTTCAAACAGCAACAACTCAGGAGCTGGGGAAATTCATTCTAATGTTCATTCTCAACTGCCTTTCAAAGTTAGAATGCTGAACTCCTCTTCCATGCTCTTGCCATTCTTTTTTTGTTCTTTCAATGAATTGTACTCATCACCCTTTCTATTATTTTTTTATTCTGTCTGTTTTGTGCTCTGTTTCTAAAATTAGCTTTTGTTAGGTCAAGCCATGTGATATAATTTTGGATTAAACATTTGAAATTATGGAACTCATATCTCTCTCTCTCTCTCTCTCTTATACAGACCCAAGACTTTGCAAAGGATCCTCATTGTGTGCTTTGAGAAAATGGTTAGTGGTCTAAGCAGTGACAGAGTTTTTATTGTTTATTGCTCTTTATTGATGAAGAGTTCCATTAAGTGTTGGTTTGAATGTATTCATACATGTTGAATTTTAGTGGTTTATGTAACACTAAGTGTTGAGGTTCAGTATTTTGTTATAATGAACAATGTATTTGAGTTTAAAAATGTATTTGCTACTTTTTAAGCCATGGACATGAGAAAATGAGATTTGTTTGTGATTAATCTGAGCCTATGTGTAAAATTTTTATGTGACCAGGAGTCACTGTGTATATCCTTGGTTTGAGTTTTTTAGCTGGATTTTAGCAGTTCAGGGAACATTAAATGTTGAGGTTTAGGGCCTTATCTTGCACCGACGCAGCGCAAAGCCAAACGCAAGTGTCTTTGCTAGTTTAAGACAGACTCAGTTGTTATTTTCCGTCCAGCGACCACAGATGTCAGCAATGAACATGATATACAGTATATTTCTGTAATTGGTCTGATCCATGTGTGCCTACATTTGTAAGTATTTACCTTTCAGTGTTTGTATTACAATAAAAAAAGTTAATTTCAACACAGAACTATTCGTTTTCTTTCACTTAAGTGTTATCTGATGGATTATGCCTATTCTTGTATTAACTCAAGCTAGAATATGTCTATAACAATCAGTGGTACACGTTACAATATGCTAAAAAAAATTAACAATATTTAATGGAAATAAAATAAATGGTGATTTAACAGGAAAATAATGGTAACACTGCTGCCAGTTGTTTCCTGTTTTTTCTGCGATTTACAGTAAATTCCTGTTGAAAAACATTACGGGGAGTGCACTGTAAAAAAACATTAACAGGAATAAACTGTTAAAATAACAGGAAAATAATGGTAACCCTGCTGCCAGTAATTTCCTGTTATTTAACAGGGAAATAATTAACAGTGCATGTAAACATTAATCTACACACATACAGTATTTAGAGAGCTCATCAAATATGGTAAAGGAAGCTCAATCGTGTTTGCTTGATATTCAAGAATCATAAGGAGCCCTTTAAGATGTAACACCTCTTGAACACAAAAATAATACTGAAAGGCAATTTGTCAACCACATACCTGACTTTTCTAATGCTCAATGCTTTGTTTATGTGGTTCTGAACAGTATGAAAAGTAGTTTCAAAACATGCCAATTTGTCCAGGGTTAGTTCACCCAAAAATAAAAATTATCCCATAATTGACTCACCCTCAAGCCATTCTAAGCTTTATAATGGGAGTGAATGGTACCTTAGATTTTGAAGCCCCAAAAAGCGCATCCACCCATTATAAAAGTAATCCGTGGTGTTAATAAACACCTTCTGAAGCTAAGCGGTTTTGTAAGACAAATATCCATATTTATAACTTTATAAACTATAATCCCTGGCTTCCGGTAACGGCTGTACGCGAGTCGAGTTCCGGTGAACTCCGGTGAAAAAAGATATGACATATTTATGGAACCTTTTTGTTTGTTTCATAATATTTGGGACTTTAATAACTGAATGTGTGCAGATTGTGTGCAGTGGCATGTGTCAGGCTGTTAATATGGAAGCTTGTTTCCGCCACAGAATGAAAAATAAAAAAGGTAATTGCGAGTTTTTATCTCGCAATTCTGACTTTTTTCTCACAATTGCGAGTTTACATCTCGCAATTCTGACTTTATTTCTCAGAATTGCGAGATATAAAGTCAGAATTGCGAGATATAAAGTCAGAATTGCGAGATATAAAGTCAGAATTGCGTGATATAAAATCGCAATTGCGTGTTATAAAGTCAGAATTGCGAGATATAAAGTCAGAATTTATTGATATAAAGTCGCAATTGCGTGTTATAAAGTCAGAATTGCGTGATATAAAGTCAGAATTGCGTGAAATAAAGTCGCAATTGCGTGTTATAAAGTCAGAATTGATTGATATAAAGTCGCAATTGCGTGATATAAAGTCAGAATTGATTGATATAAAGTCGAAATTGCGTGTTGTAAAGTCAGAATTGCGTGAAATAAAGTCGCAATTGCGTGTTATAAAGTCAGAATTGCGAGATATAAAGTCAGAATTGATTGATATAAAGTCGCAATTGAGTGTTATAAAGTCAGAATTGCGTGATATAAAGTCAGAATTGATTGATATAAAGTCGCAATTGCATGTTATAAAGTCAGAATTGCGTGAAATAAAGTTCCAATTGCGAGATATAAAGTCAGAATTGATTGATATAAAGTCAGAATTGCGAGATATAAAGTCAGATTTGCGTGATATAAAGTCAGAATTGATTGATATAAAGTCGCAATTGCGTGTTGTAAAGTCAGAATTGAGAGATATAAAGTCAGAATTGATTGATATAAAGTCGCAATTGCGTGTTATAAAGTCAGAATTGCGTGATATAAAGTCAGAATTGCGTGAAATAAAGTCGCAATTGCGTGTTATAAAGTCAGAATTGCGAGATATAAAGTCAGAATTGATTGATATAAAGTCGCAATTGCGTGTTATAAAGTCAGAATTTTGGATATAAAGTCAGAATTGCGTGATATAAAGTCGAAATTGCGTGTTGTAAAGTCAGAATTGTGAGATATAAACTATTCTGAGGGGAAAAAAGTAAGTCTTTTTTCCCCTTTAGAATTGGCCTGATAACTCGCAATTGCGAGTTTATATCTCACAATTCTGAGAAAAGATGTCAGAATTTCGAGATATAAACCCGCAATTATGTGTTAAGTCAGAATTGCGAGATGTAAACTCGCAATTGTGAGACAAAAAGTCAGAATTGTGAGATAAAAAGTCGCAATTCTGTCTTTTTTTCTCGCAATTGCGACTTTATTTCTCATAATTGCGACTTTATATCATGCAATTGCGACTTTATTTCTCAGAATTGCGACTTTATATCTCGCAATTGCGACTTTATTTCTCACAATTCTGACTTCATATCTCGCAATTGTGAGATAAAAAGTCGCAATTATTATTATTTTTTTATTATTCAGTGGCGGAAACAAGCTTCCATAGTTGACAGTATTCAGTCCAAAAGTTTTCTGAAGCTGTCTGACTATCACAATGCTCATGTTATTCACTCAAGGTCAAGGACATATAACAGTATAGCAGGGCTGCCAAGCAGTCCATCTAACTGTCTGGAGTCTGGACAGTCAATACGCCTGAAATGTGCCAGTGCTGCTACTGCCGCTCAGAACACATTCTTTATTGCTCCTAGAAAACTGACATAAGAAGTCTCCAATGGCTGCCAAGGCTGCATTTATTTGAACAAAAATGCACTAAAAAGAGTAACATTGTAAAGTATTATTACAATTTAATATGTATATTTTAAAATGTATTCCTGTGATGCAAAGCTGAATTTCCACCATCATTACTCCAGTCTTCAGTGTCACATGATCCTTTAGAAATCATTCTAATATGCTGATTTGCTGCTCAAGAAACATTTCTTATTATTATGTTTTTGATGCCTAATATTTTTGTGGAAACCGTGATACTCTACCATTCAAAAGTGTGGGGTAAAAAAAAGAGAAAGAACTTGATACTTTTATTCAGCAAAGATGCATTAAATTGATCAGTGGCAGTAAAAACATTTATAATGTAACAAAAGATTTCTATTTCAAATAAATTCTGTTCTTTTGAATTTTCTATTCGTCAGAGAATCCTGGAAAAATGCATCTCGGTTACCATAAAAATATTAAGCAGCAAAAAACTGTTTTAAACATTGTAATAACATAATAATAATAACCATTATTAATAATTGAGCACATGTAATCATTTATAATAATTGAAAAGATGGGGTAATGATGCTGAACCTTCAGCTTTGCCATCACAGGAATAAATAGAATTTTACAATACATTAACATATAAAACAGTTATTTTAAATTGTAATAATATTTCACAATATTTCTGTGTATTGTATTTGTGATCGAATCAATGCAGCCTTGGTGTGTAAAAAAATATGTCTTTCAGAAACCTTTACAAATCTTAAGGGTTTCCAATTTCAATTGTGTGTGTGTGTGCGTGCGTGTGCGTGTCGACCTATACATTTTCTCTCACAGTGTCAGATAAAACCTTTGTTTTCCACAGCTAGCTAACTAAGACAGATGACTGACCTGGCTTCATGCAACCAAAATGCCTTTTTCTTTTCTAGGCAACATATGTTGTAAAGTGTCTATTGATTTGCTCTGAAGAAAAAGACATGGCACTGAAGATCCTTCAATGAAATTCTTTTGCTGTCCCTTCCCATCATGTACCATAGAGAGTGTTGACGAACCATGAAGCAGAACGCTGGCATTTCATACGTGACCTCCAGGTGTGTGTGTGTGTGTGTGTGTGTGTGTGTGTTTCTTTGTCATTCCAGTCGAATGCTTCTGACAGCACACCAGATTCAGACTGTTGATGGATGGATTCGTCTCTACTGCTAATGGAAACTTATTCGGTTCACTGAAATAAATATGTAATATTGCAAGCTTGGTTTATTTCTTTATAGGAATAATCAGTCTGCATATATGTATATGCTGGTCCGACAGTCAGCCCGCGCGTTTGATGTATAGCTATTAGAGTGGTGGTTACACAGACAAATGACATCCTCTAGTGTCCTCACCCCTTCAGATAGCAATATGAATACAAAGAAGGCTATTGAAGTCACGTCTCTCTCTGTCTCTGTATTTATCTTCTTCTCTCAGTCCTGCGCTTTCTTTTGTTCTATGATCAAAAGACTGCAAGCTTCATTCACAAGTTAATTTGTTACTTGCAATCAACATATTTTTTCCTTATCACAATATTTACTCCCATCTGGAGTCTGGCTTACCAAACACTTGGTAAGACTAGCTTGTTTTGGTGATCTGAATAGGCCTGAAACATACATTTCTCTAGATATGCTTACAGTTCAATTCATGTTTGTTGTGCTTCACAACATCAGAATCAAGGGGTCGAGGTTTGGTGGTTTATTGGAGTTCGTAAGATGCTGTCCAATAGTGGGCATTTGGAGGTGAGCAACTAAAGTCAATATGAAAAAATGATTTACTTACTCTGTATTTTTGTCTTGTTTTTTAGTATAAATATCTAAGCATTCTTAAATC